TTCCTTCTCATTTACAATAAATTGCAAAAAGCCTATACAACATTCTATAAGCATATAAACCTTTATACAAATTATGATTCTTTTCCACCTATTCCCATCCTATTCCACTAGTTCTATACATAAATCATAAAAATATCCATCCATCCATTCCATTCCTCTTAACTCTCTAATTTTATCTATTTTCCTATCCATTCCATCCATTTCTGTTCCATTCTGTTTATTCCTTATGTTTCCAGTTTTTTTCATAAAACAAAACTGGACTTTTATTTCTCTACTTTCTACCCTGTTCTATTTCCTACTCTAACTCTTCCACCCTACTATCTACAGAGGCTTCTGCTGCCATGGCTAAGAAGTTGATACCCTGCCTCAGAGCCATGATCTTTGTATCAAACTCGTTCTTCATTGTCATCAGCTGCAACTCCAAGTCATTCAGCTCCTTGGTCATCTGTGAGTGGAGGTTGTAGACTGTTCTGGCTTCACTATGTATGATCAGAGGGATGACAGAACACAGGTTCTGAGTTGTACTGTGCAATTCCACAGTTTGCCCCCTAGTCTTATGCCAGATTCCCTTCAGGCTACATCCAGAGTGGCAGAATATGCACACTGTGCACTGGTTTTCTACACGAACAATCACCATTGACACAGTCAAAAATAAGATTGAAACAGACTTACTCAGATTACTGTAGCACAGCCAATCCATCACAGTCTGGCAAGTGGATCCCTGAGGACCCTTGTGCCTCTCTGCACACTTTACACACTCAGGTGTGTGGAAGACCATTCCCTCTGCCCAATCCAGAGGGATATCCTTGTCCTCCTTGCTTGAAGACTCTACCACAACCTTCTGGTTTTTTGCATGTGTTTCCTTGCTAGAGACTAGAATCTCCACCTCTACAATGGTGTGCTTCTTGCTTAGGAGCACCAGTACTGGCTCTAGACAACAAAATAGAGTCAGTATACCCAGAAAATCAACTACCCCTCATCCACATTACCTTTTTCCTTGCTTTTGTCCTCTTTCTTCTTTTCCAGCTTTGTAACTACTTGAGGAACTAGGAGAAACATTGTATTAGCTTGGCACGATTTGTTAGCCATACTTGTACTTACTGACTATGACTCGTTTCTCCTTCCCATCCCTTCTTGCATCAACCTTCTCTTTCTCTACAACCAGCTTTTTCTTTTCCAGTTTTACAACTTCTTCAGGAACTAGGCAAAGACAACATTAGTAGCACACAATTTGTTAGCCATACATTTAATTCATACCTGGCTTGTTCCCCTTTTCTACTACCACCTTTGACCTTTCTGTGTTTGCAACAGCATCAGAACCTGTGTAAACAGTTAGTTATTGCACACAATTTGTTAGCCATACTTGTACACATACCTTTGGACCCCTCCTTTTCCTTCCTATCCTTCTGCTTTGTTGCCAACTGTGCCAAGGCTGTAGCCTTCTCCTTCTCCTTCTCCTTCTCCCTCTCCTTCTCCTTCTCCTTCTCCTTCTCCTTCTCCTTTCCCCTCTCCTTCTCCTTCTTTGCCTTGGCCTGAGCCTCTTCCTTAACCTTGGCCTATGTTGCTTTCTCAGCCTCTGCCTTTGCTTTAGCCCTAGCAGCAGCTTTGTCCTCCTTTGCTTTTACAAGCTCCTCTACTGTTGCCTTACAATCTACAAGATGTTCTGTGTCAGTAGACAGATCAGAAATCAGGAAATAGGAGACTTACTGTCAGATTGACCCTCTACTAGCACAGACAAAACCTCCTTGCCCTCTGAATTGTTGTCATTGTGAGTATCATTGTCTGAGCTCTCTTTGTCTTCAGACTTGGGATCTGTGGTCAATCTGTTGGTTTCCTCCTTTGCAACCTTGTCCTCTGGTTTGTTTTCTGTGTCAGAACCTGTAGAGCACATCAGCATATGAGCCAGAGACAATGCACTTCACAGAGGTACTCACTGAGTGTATGTTCAACTAGCTTGTCATCCACATCCATTCCCTCACTGGCTACTATGTTGTTACACACACAATTTCCGAGGAAAATCACAAAATCAGTATAAAAAGAGTGGAAAAGAGTGCAACACTTACTGTTGGATTTGCTGGGGAGCAGCAATGACATGGCAAGAGTGATGGAAGGAAGCAGGAAGAATAAGTGACAATGTTCACACACATGCAGAACTTACATTCAGCCTGCCAATCATTAAATCAACCATGTGACTGTGGACAGTCACAAGCAGATGCACTGGGAGATGAAACAATTGGCATCATACTAAGAACTGTACATCACATGCAGACAATCACAGTGATCAATTCCAAACACTCACATGACTCATAGAAGCCTACTCTAAGAACACCCAACTATTCTGTATTGCAAGCATTTGCAAACAGAACTGTAAGAGTGTGTAGTCTCAGAATTGGCTTACACACATTGTTTTCTCCACAGGATGTACAGATCACGTGCTTATCACAGGCTCAGAACACAAGTTGTGTCACAGTGAGTGGCTCAGCAAACCATTACATCATCATTGCCCAGATCAAAGTACTGTGATCTTCCAATCAGATAGGACATTGGGGCAATCAAAGTGTTGATCTCAGGAGACTGCTGGAAATCTTGGAACTCTCTGCACTTTGTCTGTACCAATCAGATGATAACAGTATGAGAACCTTCTATTTCTTTCAATGTAAATCTTGCTTTTCCCTTTTGTATAACATTTCCTGTGGCTAGAATGCAGACCACTTAAATTTTCCTCATGCATTTCCACCCTATTTTTCTTCCAACCTCTGGCAAAAGGTTCTCTTATTTGTTCTTGTATATTTTGTTATTTTTCTTTTGTTCAGTCATGACATTTCCCTGTTAGTATTATGCTTTTCCAGAACTTGGAAAACTATAAATACAGCTACTCATGTACTAGATACATGGGGGAATTCAGATAGTTCACCCATTGATTTAGCTCTCGTCTCTTGTCTCAAAGTCCTCTAGTGTGAGGTATAGTTTTAGTCTTCGTCATTTTCTGTATCAGATTGTTTGTTGTGCACTTTGCAAAGTGCACTTTCCAATATTCACATCACTCTTCCAAGGTTGCAACCACACCAGAAGAACTTGCACCTGTTCAGAACCACTCTAGTCTCCTAAGACTCGTGGTTTAGCTCCCCCTCAAACTTAACGAAATCACCTGTGATCTTCTCTTAGACACTTCACAGGAGTTTCAATACACATACACAGTTGATTCTAATTAGTACAGGAAGGTATTTAAAAGTAAAGAACTGCTTCAGACAATTTCAGAACTAGTAGAATGTTTAGTCATTCAGGTATATTAATTCTACAATATTAGAACAGACATTTCCATCTTTAGGATTGAAGAAACAGTCAGTAATAAGTACAATTAAAGTAATTCACATAAAACATTATTCTATAAGGTACAATTGGATGTTACACTACAAAACTATTCAGTTCATAACAAAGAATTGTTTAGAAACATTAGAACCAGCTCAGACTACAAGGATATATTGTACAGAACACAGTTTCAGGAGAACATAAGGTATTACATTATAAAATACACTTTTAGACAGTTAGGATTCATTAGAATAGACTCAGGATACTTTATTAGACATATTATAAACATTACAGGCACTCAAACAGATGTGCTAGCACATATATACTCAGGATACATAGTAAGAATCAAGGTATTCAAGCTACAGAATAACAATTACAATCTACAGAATGTTAAACTACTACAATCCATATAATACAAGGATAGTAAGACACTACTAAGACTAGGAATGGATACACTTTGTATAGAACAAAGTACAGAAGTTTAGAGGGCAACTTTAAGCTAGAGAACAGATTCAGAACCTAGACAATCTGTACAATCTGCTTAATCTGCTCAAACAGATTATTATACTACTTTAAGGGAAAGTGAAGGTAATACACATACAGTTAGTAAAGATCAGAGTAATAGTGAATTAGTAATAATTAAACAGACTATTTAAGTATTCAGGAATGATACTTCAATACTACAGAAGGAAATAGAGTATTAGGAAGCTCTAGAACATCTATTAAACAATGATACAGTTTAATCTACTCTAGGAATAAGTAGTTACAATTGGTTCAAAGTACAAAAACACAGAAGACCTCTTCAAACACTCTAGACAGGTTTTAGGACTATACTAGACATTTTACACTGAAAATAAAGTCATATTTTGATGAGAGGATAAGAGGTACACACATTGTATTGTATACTATCATACTCATACAACACATACATTCTAATACATTCTGATCAGAAGGGCTCAGTCACATCAAAGTTGTATTATCCTCATGTTAGCAATCCTTCAATTACATCATTATTGCTTACACAATAGTCTTGGTTGCTCAACTCAGACTAGTTAGGTTCTAGACTCTAGTTCTGATTCACAAAGGCAAGACTCTGAGCCTTTAGACAGCTAGTTGATTGATACAAAGGGGACTCAGATCTGGAGTCCTAGATAGGTTGATACAAAGGAGACAGTAGTAGATTTGTTCATAAAGAACTAGTAGCTATAAAGGACTCATAATTTCTATAAATACTCTTATGTAATTTGTACTTTCAAGCAATCAAGTTACTCTCTACTACAACTCTTAGTGTGTAGTTTGACAGTCTCCTTAGTAAACATTCTATCTTACCTTGTCTTGTTTCATATTGTCTTATTCTAAAGTGTAGCTTTATTGTTCTACACTACTCTTGTCTTGTTAATTGTCACCTTCAGAACTCATACATTCTGCTTGGATCTACCTATTCCTTCTCACTCTTGACCCCTCTTAGTGTCTGTACCTTACAGACTCAACTGACCTCTTCTACCTTAACTAGTACTAGAGATTAACATTTTAGAGCCTACTATAAGAGGGGTTTCTTAAGGTGTCTTAAGTAGACTGAGTAGCTAACAGGTGGTAGTACTACTAAGAGTGTACCAACTCAATTACAGAAGAATCAGATTCTGGACCTGAATTAGATTTGGTCAACCACAACCTTTTACAACCTATATTCTACATACTCAGTCCTGTTTCTGAAAGGGTTTCTGTACAACCTCTTAAGCAATCCAGCTTAGCTTTACTATCCACATTTCATAGTTTGTTCTCTAGTTTGTTTCTATTAACCTCTACACACAACTCTACTTGTTCTGTGTCTCCTATTCTGTCTGTTTAAGAAGAGGACTACACAATCACTTTAGTGTTTCTACTACTTCTGATTGTTCTAACAGTTCTAAGTATATAGAACAATCTGATAAGTTCCTAGTCTTAACAGATAAGCTTACAGAATAATCTGAGCAGCTCACCTACTACAGCTAGTACTCTGAGTAGCTAGCTAACTATAACTAACATTCTAAATACTCTGCCAGTTATGATTCAAAGACAGACTAGCCTGCCCCTACACTAAACAAGCTGTAATACTCTCTATTATAACAAAACCAATATGTAGGACCTACCTTAGTTCCTTAAAGAAGTAGAAATGATTAGAGATGAGTTCTAACTTTCTAATTAACAGCTTATCTAGAGAGTAAAATATTATACTAACTAATCTGATTCTGAGATCTAGACCTTAATACTTAAAACTATAGACAGTGCCTCAGATTAGCAAGCTACTCAAGTAGTAATTCTCAGATTATACCTGTCTCTCAACTATAATTACTACTATACAAAGAATAATCTCTGTATCCTAGTCTAATAATAGACTGTCACCAGAATCTAGAACCAAGAGGAGTTTACAGAGTATTAGTACAAATTCTAGAAGATAGTAAGCTTCCTAGTCTTAAAGAAAGAAATTATGGAAGAAGATTAGAATAAAGTATTTCTTAACAGTATTATAGGTACCTTCAAAGATTAGCTAACTCTCTGTTTACTAGCCTACAACCCTAACTATAACAGTTGTATAGCTTACACATACACTAAAGTTGTTAAGGCTGCTAAGCTTATGTAGGGAGGTATAGCTTTGTAATACTTGAGAAAGATAGCTAATGTGTTTAGAACAACAAGTTCCAGAACTATTCTAATAAAGAAAGAAGATACAAACATAGTCACTATTCTTAATTTACTCTACTCATTCTAAAGCAAGTTAGACTTGTTTAAACACAAGACTAGTTCCCTATTTGTAGGAAACACAGGTACACAATCTGTACAATCTGCTCAATCTGTAAGACTGTCCTATAACACAAACTGCTCCTTCTATAGAGAAGACAAACACTTTATTTACTTGTGTCTAAAGGTTAATGAGTTTATTTGTGACAGAAAGTGTATCCAGAACACATTTAGAAAGGTTGTACTCTCTAACAGATTGTTTGTTCTGTCAACAATCTAAGGCTAACTACTTATAAATTGTTTCAACCAGTATTACACAACTAACCCTAGAAAGCACACCTAAGTCTCCTAAGATGTACAGGACACACTACTACATATAGTGTCCCTTCTTAAAATTGCAAAACTAGCACTAGTATCCTAAACATTGTTTACTGTTCTAGCTACATATATTGAAGAAGTTTTGAAAGTAGAATACAAGGTTGAAAGACTCAAAGTCTTACTCAGAGAGGTAAAGAAGAAAGTTGCTACTAGTAAGAAGCTTAAGTTCAACAGAGTAGAGGTTCTGAGGTATGAAACAACAAGTGTTCTAAAGAAGAAGGACAAAGAACCTAAGCTAGAACTAAAGCCTATACTACCTGCCAAAGTAAGCTAGACTCTAAAGTATGACAGATTAAAGTATACTAACAAGCCTACTACCAGACTACTACCAGAACCATATTAGTACTGTAATCTCTCTCTTATTAAAGACCCTGTCATTATTTAACAGATAGTCTCTTACATTCTAGACTCTAGCATTAGTCTCACCCTAAAGAAGCTGTTATTAATTACACCTAATGTCTGAAAGCAAGTTAAGAAACTATTATCTACTAAGTAAGTTCTGAACACTGTTACACACCTTGTCTTAACAGAACCCTTAGAACTAATGACTTTCAAAGATACAATTA